GTGGGGAAAGAGCCTCCAGGCGGCAGGCGTGGCCCAGGGGATGGGTGACCAGGCAGCGAGGGCAGTGTGTCTGCTCAGCCCTGGACCCCTGCTGCGGAGCTGGAGGCCACTGCACCGGCCACTGGGCCTGACCTTCACATGCTACTTGGGCACCCCAGAGAAGGTCAGGACTCCCAAAAGGAGCCGGCCTGCTCCCGGAGAAGCAGACACGTGTCCAGAGGCACCTGACCCAGGGCCTTGCCCTGCCCCAAGCTGATACTGAATTGCCGCTGGCAGCCCCGCCTCCCCGTTCCCCAGGCTGCCCAAGGTGCCTGGGGAGGCGCGTGAGCGGTCAGGCTGGCCGGCAGCGGCGATGTGGTGGACAGGAGCACAGAGCTCGTGTCCACAGGAGGCCCCGCTCCCATGGGGGGCAGGCCTGCCTCCAGCTCCCTAGGGCTGGGACGCGCAGAAGCTCCCACCTAGGGTCGAGCAGCACGTGCGCCTGAGTCGGGGCCGACACTCGCTCGCACAGGCAGCGGCCATCCTGGGATCAGGGTGACTGGGGCTGGGGGTGCACTAACCTGGGGGGCCCTCGAACTCAAGGCGAGGACTGAGCCAGCTTCAGCATGCTCCACCCCCTGTAACAGGATGGGGGGCGAATCGGGAGGGCAGTGTGACCCTCACAGGGCTAAGCGGCCCGTGCTGGAGGGAGAGCTGCCGGGGGGGTCAGCCCCAGGCTGAGGAGTGGCCCGGCCAGGCTTGGGGGCAAGACGCCTGAAGGACTCTGCCAGGGCTGCTGGAAGGAGGGCCTGGCCAGGAGGACGCAACTCAGGGTCCAGCCCAGACCAGAAGCCCGGCTTCAGGACCAGCGTCAGCTGGGAGGTGACCACGCCTGCTTCAAAGTGGCCTGTCACAGGGCGGGCAGCGGGGCCTGAGAAACACTGGCTCCCCCTCTGCTCCCAGAGGCCAGGCCCACTCAGCCAGCCTTCAGTGGTCCCGCCTGCCTGCCGGGCCGGGTCTCCCAGGCCAGCTCTGCAGTGGCGTCGCCCGGGGCTCCTGAGCTCAGGCGGCGCGGTGTGATGGCCTCAGGGCCCCCCATCTGCACCCCAGATGCGGCCCAGGGCAGGAACACGCCTCGGCCAGGTAGTTCTCTCTTGAGACAGTGTCTTGAGCCCTTAAAATAAACCTTGAGCCCTAGCACCTTGGGTCACCAGGGAACGTAGGGCTTGAGTTTCCATGTGGCTGAGACCCAAGGACCCCAGCAGAGCCCCTGGCCCCCAGCTTCTCCTAATCCCATTCTGGTGGCCCCCAGGTCTGTCCTGTGAGGGCCCTGTGCTCGACCAGGCCCCAGTGGCCACGTGGGCCAGACACAGGGTGAGGTCAGCACAGAGCCCAGAGGGAGCCCCACCTCACCCCGCCGTCAGGCCCCGGCCTTGCCCCCAGGCCCTACCCCTCCAGGGCCCAGCAGTGCACCCAATGTGGCAGGGTACCAGTGAGTGCCCTGGCCTCCTGGGCCACCAGAAGCTTCTCACACCAGATGCTGGTGCCAGGTGTGGGGCAGGGGCTGCTTCCCCACAGCCCAGCCCAGCCCAGGAGGCCAGCTCTCCACGCAGGGCGTCCCCGAGTCTTCACGCCAGCTCCCGGCAGCCCCGCCTCACAGGCCCTTGTGTCCTTGTGCCCGGGGCCTGGGCAAGGTCATTAGTGGCAGGCCCAGGCCCTTGCAAGTCCCACGCAGCACCACCCAGCAGGCAGTGCGACCTGGCCAGCATCAAAGGGTCCTTGAGCCTGTGCTGCGCGCCTCCGGACAAGTCTGCGTCCCCACTGCATGTCTGTGTTCCTGTCCCCTCTCCTGTGTCCAGCATCCTGCATTCCTGTCTCATCCCCTGTCCTGGCCCCAGAACAAGGCTCTGATCTCCTGCCAGGTCCTCCTGACACTAGGCCCCTGGGGGTAGCGTTGTCCCACGTCCCCCTCATCCTCAGCCTCTCGTCACACTGCCCCGGCTCCGGGCATCGGCCTCAGGGCCCCCCCTCCAGGACAGCTGCGGGACGCCCGGCCTCCGATACCCCTTTGAAGCCAGGAGGGCTGGGCGGCCCCAGGGGAGCGGTCACACCCGAGGGTGTCAGAGCCCGGCCGCCCTTTCAACTTTGCCGGGCTTCAAGGGCGGCGGCTCCGCACGCCCAGCAGCTGGTCAGGGGGAGACCGCCGGCCGGCCCTGGGGCTGTGCCCTCCCAGCACCCCGCCCTCCTCCAAGGACACCAGGATTCCCCAGAAATGGGCCAGTATGGGGGTCACTGTGCCGACACAGTGAGATCCTCTCCGCTACCACCACCCCCCACTACCCAAAGGGCCCAGGCCCAGGCCCCAGCACCCCACAGAACCCCACAGAGCTGGGGAGGGGGCGGCTGCAGACCTGTTGGCCGCCAGGGCACCGGCGGCTGCCCACTGGCCTTTCGGCCTGTGACTGAGGGCTCACTGGGGCCTGGCCTCAGTGTGCGTGGAGGGGCAACGTGGAGGGGCCGCTAGGAGGGGCAGGGGAAGCCCGCCAGCGAGGCCCAGCCCCAGGGCTCCTCCTTGTGAGCCGCTGGGCTCCGCCTCCCCTTCCCCTCCCCCACGCCTCCCCACCCCGCCGCCCCCAACCCCTGGCCCTTCCATGCCCACCTGCGGTCCCCTCGCCCGCCCAGCACCCCAGAACCCGGCCAGTGCGTGACACTCTGCGCAGTCCGGGGAGTCCTGGCGTCGGGACACAGACACGGGGGGTCTGCTGGGGGGCGGGGATGGGCAGGGCCCTCAGCTGCCCTCGGTTCTGGGCGGCCCTGGGGAACCTCACGCAGACGCTCGACAGGTGGCGCCGTCCCGCACGAGGCACGTGCCTGCTCCGCTCTGCGCGCCCTGCTCCCATGGACCCTCCGCGGAGACGATGGGGACCCCGCTGACCCCTGCTGCCCTCGCACATGGGAAGGCAGGGGCAGGGTGTCGTCCTGGGAGTGCGGGCTGAGGGCTTCTCGCATGCGCCTCCGCCAAGCGGGGGGCCCTCGCCATCCGGGCTCCTGCACACAGGGGCGGGGAGGAGACCGGAGCCGAAATCAACGGGCGCCCATGTGGGCACGGAAATCACCCCAGGGTCGTGGAGGTGCGGGGCGGGGACAGCCCAGGGTCAGTGGAGTTGCAGGGGGCCACTGCTGGGTGCGGGGGACTAAGGACAAGGTCTGCAAGGTGCCACGGGCTGCAGCCGCCCACCCCTCCGGGCGGCTTTGCTTTGCCACTGCTGACGATGTGGGGAGTAGGGGCTCTGGCTGTGGGAGGGGCTCTGGGCCCCAGGGCAGTGGGGGGCTTGGTCTGAGGGGGCAGGGCAGCCTTGTGAAGGTGTGGCCTCTCTCTAGTCCCCCAGCAAGCCCAACATCCAACATGTCTGGAGTGACCAGCCCATCTCCTCAGGGCCCCTGAAAAGGCCTCAGTGAGAACCGGAGCCCGGGCCTCTCTCACCCATGGGAGTGTAGCCCAGGGGGGCCGGCAGGTCATTAGCCCCCGACTCCCCTGGGGCTATTAGAACAGTGCCCACGTGAGCCCCTGGTGGATAGCACTGGACCTCAGGCCAAGGACACAGGCCAAGTTCGGGGTCTCTGTCTCCTTGGGAGGTGATGGGGGCTCTGCTATCCAGGGTGCCTGCCCCTGGCTACTCCCTGGGGAGGGGGCAGCTCATCCCGTGACCTGAAGTTGGCCCACTGCCCACCACCCGAGGTCTTCCTCTGCCCACGGTCTCCCTGCAGCCCAAGGTCACCCCCCCAACCCCACCCCGACCTTAGACTGAAACCCAACCAGGCGTCAGTCCCAAGCCTGCCCTGTCTGGGCAGCATCTGTTTGGGTCACCAGCTGTGGGCTGGTGACTGCAGGCTTCCCGCAGCAGCCGGGACCTGGGTCTCCCACAGCGTCCATCGCAGGTGGCCCTGCCCCAAGCCCCGTCTCTACCCATGGAGCCAGGACCACCCCAGTGGGGCCTCCCTCAAGGTCAGCCCTTGCCTCCTTGGGGACAGGAGTGGGGTCCACCCCGGGGAAGCCAGAGGGCGGGATGATGCTGATGAGGACAGAGGCCTCCCTCCTGCACTGCAAGGGGGCCCCGGTGGCGGAGGGGGCGGGGGACTGGGGGCCCAGCCCTGGGGACTCAGCTGGAGGGGGGTGTGGACACGGCCCTCATCTTGGGGGCCCAGCACTGCCCGGGAAGCCCTGGACCCCAGCAAGGCCTTGCCCTTCCTGCCGGACGTTCCGAGCCTCTGGGGATGCAGCGTGCCTCGCGCCGGCAGCTTGGCCAGTCACACGAGTTACCGTCGTGCCTTTTCTTGAGAGGCGCCAGCAGCCCTGGGCCGGAGGCAGCTCCACCCTTGAGGGCTGGCCGAGCAAGTCGGAGCCACAGTTTGTCTGGACAGTGAGACCACGGCTGCACAACCCGGCGTGGCAGGCAGACTCTTCAGATGGTGCCCTGCAGGCTGCCTCAGCCCCTCAAGGCCATGCAGCTGAACCCTCAGAATGCTGAACCCCCAGAATGCAGGGAGGGGCAGACACAGGCCCTGAACTGAGGGCCACGGGTGCTGCACCAGAGGGGGACACCCACTGGGCCAGGACGCCAGCTGCAAGTGTGTGGGGCAGTGCTTCTGTCCAGGGCGCTGACGATGGCCCCGCGGACCCTGGCCCAGCCCAGAGCCTTGGGCCCAGCAATGGGACTCCAAGACCCTCTGTGCTCCTGGTTCTGGAACCCAAGACTCAGGCCCACATGCAGATACAGGTGCCCACACACACACCTGTGCACACACCTGTACACAAATTCACCGGCACACACCTGTATAGGCAGGCCCACACATGTGCACACCCGTGTAGATGTGGGCACATACAAATGTGCACACACCTGTACACCAATACAGGCACACAGGCTCACATATGCACACCTATAGAGACACGAGCCCACACGCACATCTGCACACAAACACAGGGCCCCCCATACACACCTGCACACACAGGCAGACACCAGTTTAGAGGAAAAAGATGCACATTTTCTTGTTTAACAAAATAAATTAAATATACGAAGCCTCAGCTCAAACTCTATGTAAAATCACAGAGGTCTGGGGCCACCTCGGGCAGTGGGGTGACAGGAGCCTGGCTCTGAGGTGGACACCCAGCATGGCCAGGTCTCTGTGGCCCAGCCCTCCTTTCATCATTAATATTATTATCTTAATTTCTTAAATATAAATATCAGGGCCCCCTGCCCCTTGGCAAGGGAGGGGGGCACAGAGGCGCCCCGGCCGGGCTCCGGCCTCTTGAGACAAGGCCCGAGACCTCTATGCCCGACTCCCAGCCCCGGATGCTGGTGGGCTCCTGGGCACCCGGGACAGGTGGTGGCAAAAATAGGCACCCACCTGCCAAGGCCTGGGCAGGGAGACGGGTGGCAGGCGTGGGGCAGGGTAGGGAGTTTGGGGTTTGCTAAGCCAGGGTGCCTCTCAGATCTCCTGCCAGGCTGGGGGTAATGACCGCCGGCCCCGTGCAACCCTCCACACAGGCCAAGGGCTTCACGCATCAACTGGCGCACCGCCACACGTGCTCTGCCAAGTTACAGACACAGGCCTCGCCCAAGGCTCTAAGTCTGGATGTGGGTGTGACTGTGTGTCTGCAGTGTGTCCGTGTGTGGTGTGTGTTGTGTGTGTCGCACGCACACATCTGCGGCGTGTGCATGTCCAGGAGTGTGTGTGTGCCTCGCACAAGGTGCCCAGGCTGCTGGCCGCGCCTCTCGCCGGCGGCCCAGCTTCCTCCGTGGCCCTCTGCTCCCAGCCCGCTTGCTCCGGAAGGGGCTGCATCTAGCATTGGTAGTGGACATGCTGGTGCTGGTGCACCTTGCCCTCCACGTGCGTGTGCGTGTGCGTGTGCACATCCGTGTAGAGTTTGGGGTAAAGCTTGGGGCCGACAGCCGAGCCTGGGCCCAGCAGGTGCTGGGGGGCTGCTGGGGCGCCCAGCTCCTCACACAGCACCACGCCAGTGGTGCTGCTGAGGGCGGGTGGCACGGGCAGGTCCTTGTCCCCAGCACGGTCCCGGGCAGTCGCGGGTGCGCGGTGTGCAGGCACGGGAGGGCCAGGCGCGGGCGAGCACGGCTTCTTCTTGGCCTGGCAGAGCCAGAGCAGCACAGTGCCCAGGAGGAAGACGGCGCCCGCTGGGATGCCGATGACCACGGGCCACGGCAGGCTCGCGGCTGAGGACGAGGGGGCCACGGGCGGCCCTGGCGGCTTCGGGTCTGCAGGAGAGAGCGGGGGAGAGGGTGTGGGGGGACGTCGGCACGAGGCGGGCCCACGGGGGGCACCTGGGTCCCGGCCGGGGCGGGCGCCCACCTGGGAGCACGGTCAGGAAGGCGCTGCGGAAGCTGTAGCCCATGGTGTTGGCGCCCAGGCAGATGTACATGCCCGCGTCGTCCGGCCGCGCGCGGGTGACCAGCAGCTTGTTGAGGTAGGAGCCGTCCGGCCGGGACCACACGTCGCCCGTGGGCAGCACCACGAACTTCTGGCCGCCCACGTCGATGGTGGCGTTGTAGCGGCCCTCGGTGCCGTGCTCCACGCGCTTCAGCCACTGGACCACGGGCTTCACGTCGCTGCGCACTCTGCACTGGAAGGAGGTCGTGCCCCCGAAGTCCACGGTGGTGTTCACGGGGTGCGTGCCCGTGAGCACGGGCTTGGAGCGCGTCCGCTCTGCGGGGACACAGCGTGTGGGCGCGGCCCCGGCCCGCGCCAGCCCCCGCCCCCGGCCCGGCACTCACGGATCACGTCCACCTTGTAGGTGGCGTTGATGGCGCCCGCGCGGTTCGACACGCGGCACGTGTACTTGCCGCTGTCCTCGGGCCGCAGGTTCTTCAGGCTCAGGGTCCACGTCTTCCTCCTGCGCTCGCCAGCCTCGGGGCGCACCAAGGCCTGGTCGTCCTTCATCCACGTGATGTCCGGCCGCGGGTGCCCGCTGGCCACGCACTTGAGGCGCACGGAGCTGCCCACGGGCCGTGCGATCACCCGGCGCCTCATCTTGGAGGGCTGCGTGAAGCGGGGCCGTGCTGCGGGCGGCGGCGAGGCGGTCAGCGGGGCTCTCGGAGGGCCGCCCCCCCCCCGCACCCACGGACGGTGACACGCGCACCCTGCTCACCCCACTGCTCGCCGGCTGGGTCCTCCTGGCCCCCCGAGGAGCCCTCACGCCCTGGGCCCTCCCTGGCCGGGCTGGTGTCCTCTGCAGAGGGGAAGGCACATGAGGGGGCCCCCGCAGCCCCCACCCAACCCCAGCTGGGAAAGCGCCAGCCGTGCAGGCAAGGCCAGGGGCGCACGCCCACGTCTCAGTCCCAGAGACAGCTGGGCAGGGGACCCGGAGAGGCATGAGCGGGGCCAGAGCTGGCCCCCCACCCCGGCTCCGGGGGTCTGCAGGCTGGGGAGGCGGGGCGGGCACAGCCAGCAGCTGCAGTAACCCTAGCCCACATCAAGGGGCCGAGGGCTGGGTGAAGCGACATGGCTTGCATGCCGCCCCGTCACTGCCCCTTTGAAAGGACGTGGGGGTGCCGCAGCGTTCCCATTCCACACCCCAGAGGAGGGCCTGTGGGGGCGGGGCACGCTGAGGACGCCTGCCCCCACCCCACCCCCGGGACAGGACACCTGCGTGGAGCCCAGGACCGAGGCCCAGTCCTCAGGCCGCCCCCGGTGAGCGGGAAGCAGGCGCCCGGCGCCCCCTCCGTGAGAAAGACCCACGCCTCACCCGTGGGGCAGGCCCGGTGCCAGCGCCTGGTACCAGTGAGTGGAGGGCGTGTCACTGGGGACACCACCCAGGCCCCAAGCCCGGGCCCCAGAGGCAGAAGAGAACACAAGGCCCTTTGCTCCCAGCGGTCCCTCTGAACTCAGAAACCTGAGCCTCAAAGTCACTGCCGACGCCGAGGCCACAGGCCTGCCCCGCCCACCCTCGCTGGGACCACTACCCTACGGCCCGGCACCCACCCCGGCTGCCCCCCGCCCCGCTAGCCCTGGCTGCGGTCAGCAGAGCCCTGGAGTATAGGCCTGAGAGGAGGGGACCAGGCTCGGGGTGGTGACAGAGGCCAGGCCCCTGTCCTGGGCTCAGAGGAGGTGACGGTGGCCAAGCGCAGACAGGGTGCAGGGGGCTGGGGCCCCGGGGGGGTTGCGCCTGGCCGGCACTGACCCATCACGATGAGGGTGTAGTTGACGCTGAGGCTGCCGAAGCCGTTGGTGGCCTTGCACACGTAGGCGCCGGCGTCCTCCCTCTCCACCTCCTTCACCCGCAGCCCCTGAGGCAGCACGCGGAAGCGGCTCCAGCCGCCGTGGATGGTGCGGCCGTCCTTGGTCCACATGGTCAGCGGCGGCGGGTCCCCCTCCACGGGGCACTG